TATATATATATATATATATATATATATATACGTATATGTCCCCAGTAGAGCAGCACATATATATCACAGTTGTATGTTCGTACTGTTGTAGCTTCAGCTGTTTTCACGCAAGCTGGCATTACTGCCCCTGCAAGCAATCCTGCTACGGAAAAACTGAAGAAGTTAATATAAATCGGTGAAGTCGACGAGTGTTATGGAAAACAGTACTGCTGGAATTTGGTATATCTGACCTTTCAAGAAGCAGCATAAACCGTAAAAAGTTATCCTCCGACTGTGTTTACACTTGCAATATCTACTTCCAGGGGGGCAAGTAGCCCTATGAAAAGCGTGCATTTGTCTGGTTATATGTTTGCTGCTGGTTGAGTTGTGCTGAATATTCAAATAACCAAATTGATATACAAACAATTATATTAATGTTTTGGGGTACTAACGTGACACTAACGGCGAATCGCAAACGGCTATATAGTTGTTCATATTCTTAATTTTCTTTTTCGTGGTCTTTCTGTTGTATGGCTTCTGACATTCTTTAGATATTAAGTGATTTCAGACATCAATTCAACTCTTTTGATATGAATTGCTTTGCTTCAGTATCTAGTGCAGCTCTCGCGGCCTCAGAATGTAAAGTTTACACTCTGATATTTCTTCATAGATTCGCTGCTTTTCAGCTCAATGCTCTATCCAGCATGTTGCTCAGAGCAGCAACTACAGTTGGGCTAATTACGCAGCAAGTGAACCTTCGCATACTTAGGCAAACAACGGCGGTTTCGACAGCTATGAGCTGTGCATAAGGGTGGACGGATAAGCGGAATAACTAGGTAGCTAGCTAGCTAGCTAGCTACCTACGCGGCGGAAATCTGCCTGTCTAGGCAGAGATAGCTGCCAGGATGGCGACCAAACCGGCAGTTAGAATGCTGGGAACGGCAGCACTTGCAGAGCTGGTTACAATAGGATCCTCCAGATCCTCCTCCTTCATATCTTTTAATTGAGTTGTTCGTTCCTTAAGTTCCTTGAAGTACTCCTCGCTGCAAGGAAGACGAAACAACCAGACAGAAACGAAGAATGCATTACCAGCCGTTGTTGCTGTTCACGTCTCACTCCTTTCATAAGACCGGTCTAAACATTCAACACCAAAAAAACAAGCTTACCTAAAGGCTGCTTCGTTCTCTGCTGCTGCAGGCTTTAATTGGCAGAAAAGCACAGACTTTTCTGGTGTTCCTTCATCTGACTCCGAGAGCACGTTAACTGCTGTTGTTTTGACGCAATTTGCAATGACACAGCCGACTTTAGTGCTGCTGGATCCGAGAAGGTGCAACACGCTGACAGCAGCATCCTTTTTCCATATATCTTGCCACGCCGTTGTGCCTGTCGGATATGTTGCGCTGTGAAGTGTACACAATCAGCGCAACACAACACAAATGTATGGAGTCGAAGGTGCAAGAAGGGAAAACGGTGATGGCAATGTATCATCACTGTCGCTTCGGTTTGCTAGGGAAGCAGGTGCTACCGAAGATGAGTATCGCATCTGCTTACCCGATTGCTTCCAGTCCGGTTCTGAGAGCCTCCTGCACCAGACTGCGGTAGTCAGGAGTTGCTGTGTATGCGAAAGTGTGGTGGAATATCTTCTTCTGGACACCCAAAGGATGAACGGAACGACAAAACAGCTTTCTTATGTTCAGTCCGTCTCAGACAATCATAGGGATAAATGCATAACTTCTGTCGAGTCTGACAACGGTGCTTAGAGTTCAGACCTTCAGCTGGTGTTGAGACAGCAGTAGCCTTAGTAAAATCATGCAGACAGGCCTGTTGTGTGTATGCGCTCACAAGATCGGTTGTTAGCAATGCGTCGCACGAGGCTTGAGTTGTTCCTTCGCTGCCTTGTACTTGTCCCTGCAAGGCGGTGACTGTATCAGTGTCCACTTCGACTGCACTGGTCTTAGCCGAAATTTTTCCATTACGGGCCAACTTGACTGTCAAGTAGGCGTCTGCAAAGAACAAAGGCGTAGAGGAAAATCAATGTGCAATGAAGAGACCTCCCTCTGACTGAGCCGAGTAGCGGACGGCTTGACGGCAAAGAATACGGGAGAGAGCACAAGAAATACAGGAATTATAAGCGGTAGCACGTTTACCTTCGCCTACTTGTGCTACTTCATATTTATATTTTGCTGGGGTTTCCGCCCCGCATTGGAGCCCCAAGAGTCCGACGAGGCAGAAGGCTGCGGCGGTCTTGTAGAAGGGAGCCATTGTGACAGAAGGCAAGAAAACTTTTAAAAAGGTGTATCGGTGAGAGAAATATAAGTATTCAAATTGAGGAGAGCGGAAAAGACGGCAAGCAGTTCGGAGTTCTTTGCGTGGTCCTGCACTCGCGTGAACGGCGAATGCCAAAAAACGGGACAGCAAAGCCAAAATTGCAAACAAAAGATAAAATTAAAGAAATTAATATTCAGCAACAATAAAACAAACATAAATTGTTGTGCATGACTTATCCTCTGAAATAAACCATTTAATTTAAACAAATGCAAAAAACAAGCAACACCAGAGACGCGGCAGGTCGGCAAGCGCGGCAGGTCGAGGTCGTAAGAGGAGAGATCTCCGTGGGTTGTTGCTTTCGCCTTGGTTTCGGGTTCTGTCTGCCTTCTCATACCACTCAACTGTTATAAGCCAATTAAACAAATCATTTTACTTCCAATTAAATCTATATCCATCTCCAAAAACGCTTTTTATGGGGGGATACAGGGAGAAGCCCTCCCTCTGCCTCCTGCTCATTCCGGGGGGTGCTGTGGCCCCCTTCCGGTGCTCTACGACTGGGCTTTTTTGCGCTTTGAAGGCCTTCATCTGCCCTTTATCCGTGGATCGTGTTATGGCTTAGTGCCACATGCGGACAGCGCAAGCGGCGGCAATGGTGTGTAGCAGCTTCCTTGGTGTTTGCAGACGTCTCCAGAGCCAGTGGCTTGGTTGTGGTGGCGGTCTGAGCGAAGGGTCGATGCTGGTGTTTGCACGGGCAATGAAGCATAAATTCCCCTCCCTAAACCAAAATAATAATTAATTAATTTATCAAGTTGTTTAACTGCAAACAAATACCGTGGATATACCCCAGCTAGTCTCGAAAACATGTTGAACAGAAGTCCGAGGTTCTACGGTTCAGGGTCTAGGGTTTCGGGCCTTATGGTTTGGCAATTGAAACAGGATCTGTAGCCCGATCCGCCTGAAACTTTGTTTTGAATTTCTGCTGGAGTGCGGGCTGGTCTCTGGCGGCCAAGTTCCTGGCGGCCAATGAATGGGGTAGCATTTACCTGCAGTGTTAATCAATGCGGGGGGTTGGTGCTTGGGTAATACCTAGGCCCGTCATGAGCTGCAGCAGAGTGAACACGCGACGAAAGCTTTAAAAAAAAACTGCTGATAATCTCCTCCCCATTCTTTAAGTACCCCAGACACGGAGGTACAATGGCCTGAGACTGATGTTGAGAGGGGGTGACCTCTAGCGAGTTGCAATAAACCCTGCTGCTGCAACAAACCCTGCTGCTGCCTCCTGCAGAGCGGTTGTAGATTAGAGCATAAGCAGCTGCATTGATCTTCTTAGCTACTTTGTTAAATTAAGATGTGGACTTCCTTCTTCTCTCAAAAGCATTTACTTCTTGCTGGGGAGCCGCCTGTACAACTCCTCCTTGTTGAGTTCAAGGCGACGGTGCGGCGAGTAGAAGAAACTGAATTTCAGAGTACTATTGGACAGAATGATGAAGTATATTCGAGGAACAGACAAAATATGAATAATAAATAAAATAGATACTTTTTATGAACATCGTTGTAGGCAATATTAAACAATAAATTGGATGAAATGCTTCGCGATCCACATTGACTGCAGAAAAATTTCCTATAAATATGTTCTTTTGCAGCTTAATTACACAAGAAGAGCCAAGGCATAGATATATGGTACCACCGCAACAACACACACACGTATATATATATATATATATATATATATATATATATATAT